TTTAGTCGATTTGATTATGGATATGATGGCCATTTTCATGACTTCTGACCTCAAAGAATTAGCTTTTCAATGTGTGACTTTGACGTGAGCTCTTTGGTTACGCGTAGAAGACAGGATTTAAAGATCGAACTGGATCCTTACCCAATCGGCATTTTAAGGAGATTCCTTGATGACACATCCTGTCTATAGTTTAAAAATTCATAAATAATCGTTTAACTTTGATTTCCAGAGGCGAACAGGCTACACAAACTATTAAATTCAATTCTAAAAGAATCAAAGCTTCTTAAAATCATCTAATATTGACGATGTCTTATCTAAAACTGACAAGAACATGGACACACATAAAAATCGTTAAGAAACGCACCTACCCACCTGCAGTTTCTCACAATTCCAAAAGAAAAACTTGATGGAACGTGCAATGCAATTATTTATGTTTTGATACGTGAAAAAATAAGAGCTGAAAATTTTTTAATTCCAATTTGTAGCATGTTCATAAATGCTACTGTCCAATCAGTATGAACAAGCATTTCATGCTGGCAATATTTTTTCTTTTTTTGATATAAATTTTCATTCTCTTATTGTGTTATTATTGTTTTCTGATGCCTTTTGCTGCTGTATTTAAAATATAACTTAAAGCCATAATATACATACGTGAAAAAAGAGAGGCACAGTGTCTTATATACGGGCAATTCTTTGGATGAGTGGAATTTGAAAAAAATGAGCTTTCATAATCCAATGTCAATGAGTTTTGTGTCAATAAAATGTTTTCTTTAATTTCATATTACTATGAAGGAATAATAAGCCAGAACTTTCGTAGATCATTAAGCATAATTAATTCCTTACAAGTGATCTATTGAAATGTTACAACTCACCCAAATTAAGTGAAAAATTGAAAAAATATGTTTGAAAATTTTGTATTTTTTCACGGATTAAGACAAAAAAAAGCTTTTTTATAACTCGATGACACAAGGAAATTTTTCAAAGAATTGAAATATTTCAATAATTAATGATTTACAGCATATGGAAAAGCAACTTAATTAAAGATTTTTGCCTGATCTATAACTCAGTAAAAGTTATTCAATGTGGATATCAATAGTTTTCTCTAATTTTCGATTCTTTGGATGATGAAAATTGAAAATTCCGATTTCTGTCATCGAGTTATTGTCTGAAGAATCCAAATAACTTAATTAATATAGCGATTAGAAGTATATGATATCAAAAGTAGTGTTCATTTTAGATTTTTACATCGATAAGAATCATAAAATCAGTGTCTCTGATGGGAAAAATCAATAAAATTTCGATTTTTTGCTGAAAATTTTCCAAAAGTCATCCAAAGAATTGCCCATACTCATCTTTTTCAGATGAGAAGAAAAAAAATGCACAATAAAAAAGTGAGGCAGAAATTGTAATTATAAATTTTTTTTTACCATCATCTTATGGATGGATATTTCGGTTGTGTATTCTTCTTCTTATCCATCTTGTGATGTTTGATATTAAGCCACTGCTACTGGAATTTGCGCTGTTGAGTATTAAAAAAGATCGGGCATAATACAAATGCTATGAAATAAGATGTGTGTGCCACAATATGAGGCTCTCTTTTTCTTATTTTCTTCTTCTTTTTACATAATGTATAAATTCCTTTTTATCGCTTTACTGCCAATTCCCTCTTCTTTCTTATTACTCTTACGATTACGATTACGATACGATGTTTAAGATATAAATCTCAGGGAGAAGAAAGAGACTCAAGAATGGAATATGAAAAAAAAATGTGTTCATATTCGTTAATGATTTTTCAAAATGAGCTGAAAAGAATGAAGCAGTAAAGAGTTATTAAGGCGAAGCTCGAGCAAAATTAAAGAAATTTTTATCCATTTATCATTTTTTGTGTTAATCTTGACAATCGTAGTCTCTTGCTGACTTGAGTAAATTCTGAATTTAATCGATAGATTGAAACGATTTTTTTGTAATGAATGGAATTTAAAATTGTTTTTGAGTTAGATTAGACTTTGAATTGATGGATGCTTGAGGAAAAGGGAAATTCCCGAAGAATGGGTTCAATTTTGAACTTTTGTTTTGATTTTTGGGTCAACCCATTTATGACCTTAAAGAGACAGCAACAGAATGATTTTCGTCATGAACATAGAGTCAATACCCTCCTGTTGGACCTGACCATCCATATTAATCCCTTCATCTCAAATTCACACTTATCCATTACAAACTCCACTCAAAAAATTTTCAAAGAATCTAAAATCAATTCAGCTGCCACTCCATCTCGATCTCTCGAACATATACCTTGACATTATCTAAACAATAAAGCTTAGATGCTGACATCATTTCTGTATTTTGCATAAATTTTTCATTTTTCATTTCATGATTTAAATTCTCAAACTTGTTTGTACGGAATTTTCATCCATAAATAGCTTGCATGCCATAATATTATTAAGCGAAGTACAAATTCCCTCCTATGTCATGCCCTTGATAATTATAGATAATTCAGCAAGAGAATTTAATGAATAGCACATGAAAGAATTTAATTGTTTTTTTAAAAAAAATGAAGCAACTCCTTTTAATGAATCATTTTATAATGAAGTGGAACAGAATGGCGCGATATAAGTAGATCAAATAACATTTTTTTTGTGATTACATTCTAAATTAAGTAAATATTTGGAATAAATTTAAAACGAACATAAATATGGAAATAAAATAGTAATTTCAATGGAAAAATAATAATCGTAGGTCGTATCAACAATAACAATTATAATTGATTCTTAGTTTATTTGTATATTACTTGAATTACAAGTCGGAAGTTTGAGGTTAGAACGCTTTTGTGCCCTTTGTTGATTCTAAGTTTCTGTTGATCTAGCTTTGAACTTTAATAGATTTATGATCAATTGTAAAAAAGTAACTTCAACTTGAAGATAAGCCGCTCAACATTGAGCTATAGTTTAAAGCAGAACATAATCCTTGTAGTCCACAAATTAAGACATTTTATCTTCGTGTTTAACAAATTGATTGAAAACTATGAACAAAAACTAGCTATTCCTTTTCTCAAAACCAATCTCTGTGTGTCTATGTCATTGCATTTAAGCCTCAAACCTCAAAAGCAATGCACCATCAAGCCACTTCATCTCAAAATCGTACATCAAGCACGTCATCAACAATACCAAATTCAAACATTTCCAAATAATTCCATCAATTCCAACGAACTATAAACAATCTCACAAAAAATTCATTTTCTCTGAAAAATTTGCTAAAAGCACATCGATAGAATTTTTTTATGACGTTGGGGAGTTTGTAGCAAGTTTCAAACACAACCATAGACACATAAAATAATAATAAAACGTGTCAATAAATTTCATAAATATTAATTTTTCTATCATATTCCATATAAGACATGAAATCTGAGATTTGAAGAGAATAAATAATTTAAAAAAAGCAGGCAATTAGATCAATATCTCATGAGCTGTAAAATTGAAAAATTAAGTTCTATGCAAATTTTTTCAATGACTGTAAATTAAATGTTTGACGAAAATGTCAACTTAAATTTTTTTTATTTACAACAACCATCAATTAAGTTAATCTTTTATAAGCATGGCAATATAAGAATAAAGCGAACCTGCGTCTCAAGGATTACAATTATCCGCTTGAATTGCTAATTAAGTACGCAAACGTCGTTGTTGTTATATTGAATTACATTATAATTGCACATTTTTCATCGTAAACTGAATTAAAACTTAAAAGGCTTTAGAGGCGATGATGGAAGAGAATAATAAGAAAATATGAATACATTAAATTAATATTAGAAGCTCTTTCTTATTATTGCTACTTAAATCAATATTAAACATTGTCGTTTTGAATGTTTGAAGTATTTAAGTGGCACTTAAGCTGATTTTCGATAATGTCGAAAGAAAATCTAAATTTATTGTTTAGAAAATAGGTAGACGAAAGACTTGCCAAAATTTTGAGGTTATTTGTCATCTATTAAAGGTAGAATTACAGCTCAGGATTTAAATTGCTACTTTTAAACTTGTAACGGTTTTTAAACACTCAAATTTCAAATTCGCCATTTTGTCTCCACTTCAAAAAGTATTTTCAAAATATTTCTAGATTATTAAATGAATTTCAGAAATTTTTACATGAATATCTTCCTAAAAAAGTGGCAAGAATGAGACATTGACACACAAAATTGAAAACACTTGTTTAATCGAGACAAAAATTCCATTTTAAGATGTAAACAATATCATTCTGGTGCAAGAATGCACATACTTTCATCATTAAATATTATTCTTTAGTAAAAACAGTTTTAAAAGCGACAGATAATAATGACGTTGATCAATAATGTGTGCAAAAACACATTTTGAAAGTGTGGATATCTTCTACGGCGTCATAAACAATATCATCTGTATCTGGCGCTATAAAAACCATCGAAACCTTTATAATATTTACTCAGTTGGATCTTTATTCAATGACAACATTCCAGAATTTTACACGTGCTGTATTTTAAATGTATTGTTTACAATTTTTATCATTGAACAACTCACATAAAGGTGCAAAGTTTCCTTTTGCAAGCTACTAATCAATCTTGCTTATTACTTCCCAAAGAATCAAGTTTGCAACCTCATAAATGATTTCATCATGTATGACAAATATCGCGAAAATTCTCAAATCATTTTAACAAGATTAACCAAAAACACAACAATCCATCCAAGGCTAGATGTTATCCAACCCGTAAGCTGGTTAAACAGTCATAAAAAAATTTAACATCTCATTTGTTTTGCAAAACACAAATCTACATTTAAAATAAGTTCTTGATGAAATTTCAATTGATTTATGCTCATGTAGACACTGAGAATAAATTTAAATGTCTTATACCAAGACGAAAGATATGAAATCATTTACTGTTACTCTCTATTCGGCTATAAATTAAATGTGATCGTAAAAATAAGAGTTTTAAAATCGAAAAGATTTTTTAATAGCGAAATTCATTTTATTTTTTACAGGAACTATTTCAACCAAGTACTTGCAGATTGTAATCATGCAGCATGCGAGCTTTTTGTACCGTCAGCGCACCCCTAGAGGTTTGCGCTCCTCCATCAAGACCACCTTTACCACCACTTCCGGCAAATGCACGATTTTTAGCTCTAAGGTAAGATGCGACTTGGTTTGTAGCTTAGCAATGGGTGACTTAGGTCTTTGGACTTTAAGAACCCATTGCTATACTCAGTGGCTTAGCTAGGGGTTGTAACCAGCTATTACTGCATCTATTGCTTCTCGTCAGTTTACTGTATTTCAATCTCACATTACAGGCTATTCGGAACACCACAATCTCGCACCCTATACTTCCTAGTCGAGGCCAAAAGTCGTGTAAGAGAAGTGTACGCACAAACATGTCATCACTTTTCAAAGCAAGGAATGCTGGACACCGAACTGTTCGGTTTAGCAGTTATGATGGGTAAGTTGATGCGATGCGCACAAAATTTGTGATAATTTGACTATAAATAGAAGCATAAAAAAAATTCCAATGAAGAAGATAAAATAAGCAGCTGAAGAAGAAGTTAGAAATGAAATAAAAATGAACTTAAATGATGTATCAGGTTTATCGCTCATACGGTCGTAAAAATCTTCATATTACGATAACACAAAATGTAGAAAGAAATCAAATTAAAAACACCATAAGAATCTGAAATTTGTGTGTTGAGAGAAACTTAGTCAAAGACAATAAGAAGAAAGCTTATAAAATAAAACCAGTTAAAGATCTCCACAGATTTTTTTTTAAATAATTAATTCCCTCCAAAAAAAACACATCACATCATTTGGAAAAGAAGAAGAAGGCAGAAGAAGAAGAGATGAAATGATAAACATCATTTTAATGAAAATAAAAGAAATGAAGGAACAAGAAATCAAGAAAACAACATCTTTGATCGTAAAATGGTTTAATAATAATCTTCACATCGTAAGCATAAAAAATATTTATTGTTCAAAAAAATTCTCATCTTGATCCACAAAACTTAATATCATGCCACAACATTTTTTTTGTGTGGTTTTTGAAGAATTTCTTATAATTTTGATAATTAATTTTTGATGGAGTTTTTGTATTTGTAAAAATGAGGTTTTTTCCTACATCAACTAGTATTGAGTCATTTTTTCATTCGGGAATGTTCTAGGTTCCTCAGGAGCTGAATTCTACCACTATAAAGTGGTGCCTTTTAGCCTAAGATCACAAATTAATGAACTATGTCTCTCTGGGGCAGAACAACTTGACTAGATTAGGATTAAAATTGTTTTATCTTAAGAGATAGTTCGAAACCTAAGATTTCACTTTAGTCTGACTCTTTGACTTATTACGCACTATAAGAACGATTCGAATCCAATTTTCTAAGTTAGAGTTAATGAATGTTTAATGATCAGAATCAAAGAAGCTAATTTAGTAATAGGAAGTAGGAAATGTTAATATATCCGTAATTTGATGCAGCCATAATGATTCTGAAGCTAATTTTGATTAAACTTCTGATTCTTCCATTTAAATGAAGTTTAGATCTAAGTCTGAATTAGAGATGAACTTTATTCAAGATTACATTAAACTTTTGTAACGAATTCTATGAAAATTCAAGTCGTGATCAAGCTTTGATCGAATTAAAATTAATTCACAAATGGCATGACTTTTTCAGGATTCCAAATCAAAGAACATTGAATTCCAAATTTTCCTGGAACTTCAAAAGTTTCGTACATAAACAAAACTTTTAATGGTGAATTTAATGCCATAAAAAAATCTTAAAAATTCCAATCAAATTTTCATATTTTCTACTGCTCATTAAAAAAATATTATCTCATTATCATACAAGCCATCTCCACTAATCATAAAAGACTTTAAAATTTTCAAAAAAGGCACATCCAGACAGAGTGAAAAAATTATGAGACATAAGAATTCTTTCTTTGCATGATCATGATCATCATCAGCCCACGTTCATCATCCCAAAAATAAAAAGAGAATTGTCTGAAAATAATCATCCTTAATGCAAATGCTCATGATGGAGCAGAAATTATTGTTTTACCCTTTTTCATAACGTGTTCGCGCATAATGTGATGATATTTTTTTTATTCTGTTGTGTTTATGGTCCTATCTTCCTTCATTCTTCAAGACATCTCTCCATCTTTGTCTCCTCCACACACCGTATGGTTATTTACCAACATTCCATTCCGTCGTCATGTCATACATAAGAAGGCAATAAAATTGCTTCACATGTACATACGGACATACGAGCATATGAAAGATAGTCAGTCGTTTACTTTATATACAGCACAGCCTCGCTCATGTGATGTATAAAAATCATTTTCAGCTACCTGAATTACAAACACGCGTCTCTTTCTCATTCCCTATGCTGTATGTTCCTCATATATGTCGTTTTTTTACTTTAACTTCTTCGTTTTCTTTTATTTTGCTTTAAAAAAATTTCTTTCATTCAATGGGTCGACACTCGAGTGGCTTTATACAATTTTTTTTTTGTGCTGTCGAAAATGCGATAAATGGACGAGATGGAAAGGCAAAGAGAATTTTTTTTTTGTGTTGTTGTTGTTCTTAATGTATTTTATAACTTCGCATACCACTAATATATTCGTTGCATATTTTTTTGATTATTTCTCTTCTTTATTATAATTTATTTAAGTTTTTATTCTTTCATTTCCAGGATCATTTTTAATGCCTTCTTTTATGATTCTCCACTTCTACTTCTTCTTTTTCCATCTGTTGTTAATCTCGACAAGAATTTCTTTTCTCTTCGCCTTTTTTTTCATATTTATTTATTTTTTTTGGGGGGGAAATGAAGCACAAACATAACAAAATTTTATTTTCTCATCCATAAAACAATAGACACGCAATCTGTTTATTTCTTGAGCTAACAGAAATTCCTTATTTTTCTTTATTCTTTTATTTTTCGAAGCACAACCTCTCTTAAAATGTCATTAATCGTCTTGATCTATCAACAATGAAAGAGATATATGAAGAGAATATAATAACTGATCTGAAGCGCAATCAAGTCAGAGGAATTTTTTAAGATTTCTTTATTCAATACTGTTGGCATTTTGCTTAACTTGGTTGGTTTTTTGGATTAATGTTAGATTGGTTAAGTTTTCAATTTGATAGGTTTAATCTTCTGTGAACTATATTGAACCGTAACCTTTTGTAAGATTCTTTATAATTTTTTGTGGCACCTAGTCCAAGCTAAGACTAGTTTAGGATCAATCTCTATAAGTTCAAAGCACTCTTCTAAATAGAGCATTGAAAACATTTGAAGAGCTTATGATCTCAATACAGAAAATCAAACAGAAAATCAAAGCTAATCATAAGATTCGAACTTCTCCTTTGCCTGTATTTTGTTTAAAAGTCATACAATAAGGAAATGCGATCTCTAATCAATCGATAAAATGGCAAGTTACTCCTAGCTAGATTTGAACCTAATATCTATCCAATAAATCAATTACTTTAAAAATTATTAAAGCTCATAGAATGTTTAAAATGCTTATAATAATCACAAGAAGTGATGATCACAAGAATGTGATCAATTTCACAATGTGAGCAATTTCAAACACCAATAAACATCATCATTGATCGCCCTTGATCCCTAATCCACGATTTTCAAGTTCAAACCCCAAAGTGACTCCAAAACCACCTCCATCCACAAAAGAAGTACCTCAAAGTATTTTAATTTTTCCTCTCGATTTACAACCGCATTAACTATTAATCATTTTACATCGGTTCAGTGAAATATATTTTTTATATTCAGCATTTAAAAAAAGTGATATAAATTCTCGAAAAAAAAAGAAGGAGAGCTATAACAATGTATGGCCATAAACCTCAACTAGCTTTCCCATGTATTTTAACGTGAATTTGCTACCGTTCGTCGAATGTGGAAAATATATATAAGCATATTGAATGCATGCATAAAAAACGCATCACTATAGCTCATAAATCATCATATTTACATAAATATTCTATACCTCAAAGATATACATATTGGCATGACTATAAACTTGCCTTCATTCGATTGAATAGAAATTTTTCAGTTGCAATGCCACAAAATGTCAAATGCGATCTCAATTTGTATAAACTTCTGAGCTTTGAACATTTCAAGGTGGTTTGGGGTTATTAACTGCTATTTGGAGGCTTGTCTGAATTTTGAACTGGTTTATTGAATGACTTTAGTTTGTTGAAGACCCGAAAAAATGCGTTTCATAAGCATCTAAGTCTCTCTTTGTTTCCGATACTGGCTTTCTTTTCAGTTTACCATTTAATAATTTACGATTCACATTTTGCCATAAATTTTTTGACATATTTCTCTTCTCTCACATTGGCATCGAATACGAAACACAACGAAAAAAAATAAAAATCCCAGGGATGGACGAAATGAAGAAAAATATCTACATGTACGAATGGGCCATTAAAATTTACATTTAAAAAATTTATTTTCCATTTTTTTCTTACTTCTCTGATTTAAATGTTTAAATTTGAATATTTTTCCATCGCTGTAAATTTCTTGTCAAGTCGTATAAGGCTGCCCTCTCCACATGACAATGTTTTTTTGCTTACTAATTTTTAATTAAACATAATCTATTCTGCGATTTTTCAATTAATTAGCAAACGTAAATGCTGAAAAAAAATATTTATGTGTTATCATAAATAATAAAGTTTCTATTAAGCCTAAAGACTTTATTTCCTAAATATGGGAAATAAAAAATTAAGAAATTGATTTTCATCATTAAGTGAGGCCTGAAAAGAAACAATTTTTTATTTCGATAATTTATGGATAATCATTTGCAAAGTGAGAGCTGATGCCTGAAATGCGTCAATGGCACAACGGGGTGTTTAGCGTTAAATTATTCTGGGACTCAAGTTTGACTGATTTTGATGAATTTTAAATTAATGATTGAGTTTGTGTTTCAAGTCATAAAAGTCATCATCTTATCTCTTGAATCAAATCTGTGTTTTTTGAATCAAAAATTAACGCTTCTGAATTTTAAATTGACATCCAGCTACTGAAGTTTAGGCTTTGATGCTTGGAATGTGAAGAAATGAGCTTCCAGTTGGGGTTTATTCGCTAGTGATGACTATGTGGTTTAGATAGGAATGGATGAAAAGAAGTAGGCATAAGTACGGGGTAGTAAGAGTGAATAAAACTAGATTAAAGGAAGTAAGACGAGATACAAGGTGACAAGAAGGGCCACAAAGAATCAAACCTCAAGTTTTAGTTTATTTTGCTCCTGTCTAACCATATTTGATGTACCAAATCAGAGCAATGGACATACAATCCTTATCCATTGCCTTGTTTCCTTGCCTGAGCATTACAAAACTCCAGTAGATCCCAAAACCCATTTCCATTTCCCCAACAAATAATTTTCTATGGTCATCACTCATTAAAAATTACATGACAGCATTCCAACACTCCTTTAAACGATTAA